AAGCATCAATTCTTCTACGGTCTTCCTTATTCACTGTCCAGCTTTCACATGCATATGAGGTTACTGAAAATACCATGGTTTGGGTCAGGTGCACCCTGGTCCTCAAGCTGACATCTTTGCTCTTCAACACTTTAAAAACGTCTTGGGCAGTAGATTTGCCTAATGCAATACGTCATTTGATTTCTTGACTGCTGCTTCCATGAGTGTTGATAGTAGATACAAAAAGAATGAAGTCCTTGACAACTTCAATCTTTTCTCCGTTGATAAGAATGCTGTCTATTGGTCCAGTGGTGAGAATTTTTGTTTTCTCTACATTGAGATGCAATCCATACCGAAGGCTGTGGTTTTTGATCTTCATCAGTAAATATTTTAAGTCTTCTTCACTTTCAGAAAGCAAGGTTGTATCATCTGTATCACAAAAGACTTTGTTAATGAGTCTTCCTCCAATCCTGATTCCACGTTTTCCTTCATATAACCCAGCTTCTCAGATTATTTGCTCAGCATTCAGGTTGAATAAGTATGGTAAAAGAATACAACCCTGTCACACACCTTTCTTCATTTTAAACCATTCAATGTTCCCATGTTCTGTTAGAACAATTGCCTCTTGGTCCAGGTACAGATTCCTCATGAGCACAATGAAGTATTCTGGAATACTCTCATACTTCTCAATGTTGTCCATGTCATGATCCACACAATTGAAAACGTCTGCGTAGTCAATAAAGCACAGGTAAACATCTTTCTGATATTCTCTGCTTTCAGACAAGATCCATCAGACAGCAGCAATATCCCTCGTTCCCCAGCCTCTTCTGAATCCGGCTTGAACCTCTGGATGTTCTCTGTCAAGGTATGCTTGCAGACGTTTCTGTATTACCTTAAGTAAAACTTGATGGGATATCAAAGAGATAGTCCGATCTTTCACATTCCGTTGGGTCACCTCTCTTTGGAATGGGCACAAATAACAGATCTCTTCCAATCAGTCGGCCAGATAGTTGTCTTCCAAATTTCTTGGCAGAGATGAGTGAGTGCCTCCTGTGCCGCCTCACTTTATTGAAAGATTTCAATTTTTATTCCATCAATTCCTGGTGCCTTGTTCTTTGCCAATTCCTTCAATGCACCCTGGACATCTTCCTTCAGGAAAGTATCATTTGCTCTTGATCACATGCTACCTCTTGAAATGGTTGAACATCAACCATTTCCTTTTGGTACAGTAATTCTGTATTCCTTCCATCTTCTTTTGATGCTTTTTGCATCATTCAATAATTTTCCCCAGAGAATCCTTCAATAAGTCAAGGCTTGAATTTTTTTTTCAGTTCCCCCAGCTTGAGAAATGCTGAGTGTGTTCTTCCTTTTTGGTTTTCTGACTCCAGATCTTTGCACATTTTGTTGTAATCTTTGACTCTGTCTTCTCCAACTGACCTTTGAAATTTTCTGTTCCACTCTTGTACCTCCTCATTTCTTCCATTTGTTTTAGCATCTCTATGCTGGAGATCAAGTTTCAATGTCTCTTCTGACATCCATTTTGGTCTTTTCCTTCTTTTTTGTCTTCTAGGCATTTACTCTAGGGATCTAATAGAATTGACATGGATAGACATATGTAGACCTATGCTTGCTGCAGCATTATTCAAAATAACAAGAAGACAAACAACCTATGGACAAATTAATACACAAGCAAAATGTAGTGCATTCATACAATGGAATAAGACATAAGACAAATGAATTCCTGAAATACA